TTGGATTTCCAGTGTCGTTTGGAGATGTTATTGTTCTTAACTGTCACTAGGAGGGGAAATGCTTTGAAAGCATTTATATTTCTCTAAGCCAAAGATGAGAAATAAGCACCTCAACAGTGTAGATTCAGAAGGACGTCAAGGCAGTAAAAGCAGTAGTGGTACTAACTCAGCTTCTAATTACTAATAAAAGAGATCCTGAGGCGTTCTGTAACATATTGCCCTGTTTAATTTTCATCAGAGCGTGTATCACCTCCAAATACATGTCTCATTTATTTTATTATTTGCAAATATAATGAAACCTTCCTTATTCCAACTAAGATATATGCCAAAGGGGAGTGAGGGCTGTTCTGTTCTTGTATCCTGTCCTGTATTCCCAGTGCTAGAATGAGCCTGGCATAGAGCATGCACTCCATAAACATTTTTTGAATAAATGAATGAATGATCAACATTTAATAGTATTTCATGATTTCCAGGACAGTGCCCTAAGTGCTTTGCATGACATATTTCACTTAAGCCTCATAACACCCTATTAAATAGGTACTATACCTATTTACAGAGGAGGAAGCTGAGGCTCAGAGAAGTTGAAGGACCTTCACCTCTAGTAATTGGAGGAGGTGGGACTTAACTCCAGGCAGCCTGACTCTGGAGACCACAGTCTTAGCCAATATGTTAAATCTTAGTAAAAGATTATGAAATAACAGCAACTAGCATTTGCTATGTGCTTCTAAATGTATGAACTATTTTCACATGTATTCCCTCCTTTCATAAATTCAATCATCCTGAGCTCATATTATCGTTATCCCTACTTTACAGATGGGGAAAACTGAGAAATGAAGTGATTGGTTGAAGGTCACAATGCCACATGTGGCAGTCCTGGCAATGAAACTCAGATATGCTGAGTCCAACCTCAATCTCTCTCCCACTCCCTGCTCTTGCCATGCACTTAGATGTGGCCAGAGACCACAATATATGGCTTTAGACATACGTGAAAAGGAATTCTGTTATAGTAGTCACTAATAAAACCATTGTTATTACTCACCAATAAAGAATTCTGGTTTTATATTTACTAATTCTGTTTTACTAGTTACTAAGTTGTTCAAAAAAAATTACACAGGGGTTCTAAATTAGGGGTGGGGGCAGTCCTCAAGCATTGCTCTTAGAAGGATATGACAGCAATGACATTTTCATTGGTAACTTTCACGAAGACTGCACGATCATTTGTTCAGGTACGCTCCGTGGTACTTGGAAATCATTGTTATACTCAATTATCTCCCGTTCTCCTCTTACATACTTACTCCTACATTGGGTGATGGTAAATGACTCCAAGTTGTATTTTCTTGACAAGATAATAAAAATTATAGACATGATTCTGATAATTAGGACTCATTGTGTGAATGTAAAGAAAAGAAAGGAATAGCAATAAAAGTCACAGAAGCGGAAGAGATGCATAAGCTCCATGAGTCACTGAGGAATGGGGGGTGGGGTGGGGGACGGAATGGAGAGATCCTTGGGACAATGTGCTGGAGGGTGGTCAATGGCATGACAATAGGGAAAAGGAAAGCAATCCACAGTCTGATCCTGAACCAGACCTCACAGGTTTGAAGTTAAGGGATAATGATGGGGATTAAATGAGAAGTGAATTAAGGAACATATCAAACCTCCTCTTCAGGGTGATGGATGAAAAGGCATTCTGCACTGTGGAAGGCAGAAAAGGAACATTGTCACTTTATGTCAAGGTAAGATGGTGGAATAACTGTTCAAGATTATAGTGGAAAATGCAGAATAATTAGCTCTGTAAAAGAAGATCTGAAGAATAACTGAAAGTGACTTGGAAAACTTAGGGGACCAGGAACCAAATATAATTTAACATAGAAGTATTATCATTAAATAGAAAGATACTCTACTTTAACATAGTAAGGAGGTACTGCTATTGTCCACTCAAAAGTTTTACTTTTCATAAAGCTTTTATAGTTCATACCATGCACTGGCCAATTTAATGTTTAGGTTAATCCAAGACTCATTTTAGAGCATGTGAACCTGTCACCTGCTACTATAGTTGACAAGAGCTCTCTATGAACATGTCTAGATCTTACTTTGCATACCATTCACTTGGAATTTATCACACTTAGAATTCTAATGACAGATTCATTTCGTATGCATACAGGCATGTAAGTTCACCAGCTTGGCGTATACGTTTATTTGCAGGAACCTGTCTTCATGAGTACCTACCGTGTGCTTTTTGTTAGCGTCCCAATGCTTAGTTTGGAGCCTGACATGGTTGTTCCTCAGTTATTAATTGTTGAATGATTATTTTTTTAATTTTGATTTAGGCTATTGTTTTCTTTACAGCCAACAAGAGTTGCAATAAAAACCATGTGGTACACTTTATGGAAACTTGTGAGTTGTAATTGACTCACATTTTCACTTCTTGGTGAAATGCAATGAGTGTCTCTTAGAATGAGAAATTTGATCAAGACTGGGTTTTGAGGAAGCGTCTCCTGCCCCCCAAGGGCGGGCTTCCTTCCAGAGGAGATCACCTTAGATAGCTGCCAAAGTTGCTAAGGCAAACCTTTGCATATACAAATGTGGGTCAATGTGTTGACAGGATGTCAGATTTGTGTAGCTAATGGAGCTTCAGCATGAATACCAAGCTTTATGCCACTCTATTGTTGCCCAAATGAACCTGTAGGTACCTATTCCTGCCTGCTGCTAATGGAATAGAAAATAGGAGCCCCTCTTGTGAAAATCTGACCAAGGTCCCCAACTCACCCTTGATCTACAGTAACTGGTTTTCAGCAACAACTGAAAAGCAAATTCAAAGAGATCTAAATGGCAGAGCACTGATATCTTTTCATCAAAATAGTCAGTAATTCCACGGTGCAGTTATTTTTGCCTCATAGAAATTACCCACGAGTGTTTCAGGAATCTTTACCATGGCATGGATCAAGGAAGAGTTGAGTAACAAAGAACTAATCGGATCAGCTAATTTGAAGAAACCAAGTTTTTTATATTACAAAAGACCTCAAATATTATTTAGTTCATTGAAACATAAATCTCAGTGGGGACAATGGGAAATGTGACAACTTTTTTTTTTTGAAATTATATTTTAGGGTCATGGAAATATTGAGATTGAACATAGTAAACTGCAGCAACTTTTATGTTCTTTGAGAGATGGAAGGGTGAATTAAACGCCATTTACCATAAGCCTCATTTTAACTTTTAATGTTCTGTTGCCTATTATTGTGTTATCTAGTGCATTTCTGCATGTGCACACAACAATGACCTACTAGAAACCCATTAGCTAGATCACTGGATTAAGCAGAAGACCTAATCCTCCAGTTATTCAAATAATCTATTTTCTTTGCTTCAACAGAGCACCTAATGTATTTTATACCTGGAACAGATCATTTTTGATACTTCCCTTGTCTTATACAACAAAATTATTTTTTGAAAAAAATCATGAAAGGAAAATAATAGCAATAATGTCCAGAAAAGAAATGCAGACACTGAATATTTTTGTTTGCATTTTGTATTTATAGTTGTACAAGTGAAGGAAAAATAATTACAAATAAAATAGAGAGTAAAGTACAAAAATGAAAAAAATGGATTAATAGTTTTAAAATACATGAATGCACTTTTTTGACAAAAGGGGAAAGAAACCTACATATTTGTCTGTTGCAGTAACGAACATAGTAGATGACTCCATGTGGGTCCAGGACAGCGCCCCTGGCAGGTTTCCAAATGAACTTTCATGTAGAATACAATGTGTGTAAAGCTGAAGTAATAAAAATGGGCTAACTTGAAGGGTACACTTACAGTATTAAAATTTAACAGGAATCATTTAGAACTTGCACAAGTAGGATACTTGTGGAAAGGCATATTTTATTACTGACATTGTTTAGAGTGGTCAGTGCATGATGATACTAAAAGGCAGGTTAGACTTTAGTTGGTTTTAATATTGGGTTTCCACTCTCTGCTGATAGTGCCCTTGTGCTTGTACCAGGGGCCCCTGGTTCCGCTGCTTCACCCCCAACTTGGGCCCACCACTCCTTGGCTTTATAAAGTTGTATTTCTATTTTCTACTTCCACACTTGAGAGGTGCAGCTTTTAAAGATAATTTTTTTCCCCAGCACATTGCTTTTTTCTACCATGCCTCCTCTCAGTATATCAGAAATCTTATTTTTGTTTACTATTTCTAGATTATTCATTGTCACTCAGAAAGCTGTATATTGTTTGATGAGAACTAGACGTATAGATAAATACTGATTTGTATTTGTATATTAGTTTAAAAGGAATAATGCCCCTTTAAAAATAAGAATGAAAGGGATTAAATAGAAGACTGTGGAAACATTCTCAACAATTTTTTTTTGTATGTGTTTGTATCTGCCATCTCCAGAAACCAACTTTTCATATATTATCTCTTTCATGGAGGCACAAAGAAAGAATCCTTCACAAGAGAGCTCTCTCTTCCTGTCGTCTCTTCATCCCAGTATATAAGTGTGCATGGATATTTTTTCATACATTTTTCATGTTTTTTTTTTTCCCCTAGCTGGTACCCCAAGCAGTGCCCAGGCAGCATTATACTATGTATGCATCTATTTTTGTTTTTATATACTATTGTATTTTTCCTTCTCTAAAATTAATTCCTCTATAGCGTCTGAGTGGTTTATTTATTTATTTATCTATTTTTTTTTATCAATTAGCTTTTTCTGGGAAAATCTTTTCCTGTCTAATATAGAATAATGATTTTTTTCATCTGTCAAGGGGGTTATTAATAAATGCCACCAGTGGGGTTACAACATTCTCTGGTGTTTGCTTTAGGGGAACAAGGGGATTGTTGGAAATCCTAGCCAAACTGAACCATAATTAGAGAGAAAATGTTAGCAATTAGAACTATACATTAGGCTTTAATTTACTACTATGGAAAAGTCAAGGGTGGCATTTTTATTCCATTTTTAGGTACAGCCAGATGGATTGCTCATTACAGGATAATTTCTGCCGACCCTCTGCACTTCTCAGGGTAACAAAGCAGCTGAGAGCACTGCAGTCAGTGGCTCTGATTTTATTTTATTTCTTGTGGAGGTGGCAAATGGAGCGGGGGGTTGAGCAGTTATTTCTTATGTTGTCATTGACATTATTGGGAATCTTTTTATATGTTGAATAATTGTAGGCCAAGGAGACAGTTTGGGAACACAAACACATTAATATAATTTACTTTTCTACCCTTGCCTAAATGTATTGCACTCACATGGTTTAACAACCTTCACATTACAAATTCCCCTTTTCAGTATGTCTACTTTTGATTTTTCTTAATGACCAAATGGAACATTTTAAGTTATTGAAAGAAAAATGTCTTCCCAACCAAAAGTAATACAGCTCCAATCTAATTCCTGCAAAGCTTCTGAGGCCACAGATTGAAACACTGCTGAAGATGTGGGGTGTACATTATCATTTTTTCTTTTTAGCTCATGCTCAAATGGCATTTTCATAAAATGAATCAAGATGTTAATGGCCATTTAAAATAAGTGTATTTATTTTGAGGTGACAATGTTCTCATGAAGAAAAAATTCTTCTAGTTACTTTATATTACAGTGAGTCAAAATCAGCCAGTTTCCTTTGCTTTTGAAAGTGTATTATTTTTATTTTTATTGTGGTAAAATAAATATAACTTAAAACTTACAATTAACCATTTTTAGGTGTACAGTTCAGTGGCATTAATACATACCATTCACACTGCTGTGTAACACCACCATCCATCTTCAAAACGTTTTCATCTTCCTAAACTGACACTGTTTATTAAAGAGTAAAGCCCCATTCCCCTTTGCCCACCATTCTACTTCCTGTCTCTATGAATTTGAGACAGCCTAAGGTCTTCAAGGTTTAACTATGCTGTTGCAATTTCCTTTTTATTATTTTAAAGGCTGAATAATATCCCATTGTATGTACATGCCATGAAGGTACCTTTATATTAAATACTTGACACTTATTTCCTAAAGATTTACTGCTACACTCTGGTGTTGTTGAGTTGACATTTAATATAAACAAGCTATGGTCCTGCCACAGGTGAGGTGGCTGATAAAAGGGTTGGTAAGTTTTGGCCCATGACAATTCACTATAGGCAGTTTGGACAATAAACAAAAGAAACCGCCAATCTTTCCATAAAAGACCCAGTTAGAGGACAACCACGTTAGACTAATTTGAGCCATGACATGCAGAGAAAAGCAGTAATTAATTTTATTTTCAGATAAATGTTAAGAAGGCATTACTAAAAAACATTTACATTCCCATATTCATCACAGAACTTTAAGTGGTTGAAAAATTCAGGCAACTAGTTATCCTCAATAGTTTTTAAAATCAGAATCAGAAGAAGGAGAAACATTTCCCCTGTATTCCATATTGTAGTAGATTTTAGCTAAAGTTTTTCATGCTTCTTATGGAAAACATCAACACTAAAATCCAATACTTTTGTCAATTAAAAATTATATAGGTCTATAGCAGTTTATTTAAGACTACTCTGCCTGAAGTTAAGTTTCAGCTGTAGCATATCACTGTTCATAAGCTCCCTTACAAGGAAAACTCTTTGCAGGAAAGGAATGAGAAGACTTCTGTGGGGGCTAAAAAAATACTTCTCCTCCCACCTTCTAAGTTCTTCTAGCTGCATTAATAATCCAATTAGCAGAGACAGATTAACAGGAGAAAATGTACAAATTTATTACAGATGTATATTCCAGGGGTATCATCAGATATGAGAACCCAAGCTCAAAGAAAGAAAAAAAAAAAGAAAAGAAAAAAAGAGAACCCCGCATTGGGCAGTTGAGGCTTTTACACCATCATGGACAAAGGAGAATGGGGAGTGAGGGAGAGGGGGGAGGGGGCTGAGATTTCAAAGGAAATAGGCAATATACACTTATGTAATTGAGCAAAGAGTGCATCCACTGGGTGCTACAGATGCCAATCACACTGATGCTGGGTGCAGTGAAAGCAAGTGGTGTTTATTGTATGGTGTTACACAATGGAGAAACAGCAGCTTGTGCTAGAAAAACCCAAACTCCCTCATCCAGGGTTTTTAAGGGCTTAGGGGGAACAGGTATGCAGAAGCGTTGGCTGGGGAAGTTTTAATTGGAGGACCTTGGAGCTTGGCCATTTAGGATTATGGTAAGGGGCGTCAGGACTGGATCTTCCTGGACAAGGACCCTTTGCTTCTGAAAAGACTCCAGGTTCCAGTTCTGGTTATGTCCCAGTTCTTTGGTTCTGTGTGTGTGTGTGTGTGTGTGTGTGTGTTGATAGGGGCGAAATTTTAATTCTGGGTGCAGCTGGGGGTCAAAGTTCTCTCCTCTGTGCATGCTTTGGCTGAATGACTTGAGGTTTTAGTGTGTTGTTCTGAAAAGCAACTCAATATCTCAAACAGGATAGGACAGGATAGGACCATTTTAAGCTGGTTCTGTGGTTACAGGTAGTTGATGAAGAGCAGAATACATGTGGCAGTCAAATTCTTGTTAGGTAACCCCAAAACTATGGGGCACAAGGCAGGATCTAGCTCCCTGGCCCCTGCTTGGAGACTTCCTAGGAAAGCTAAGGTGAATATGTTAAGATTCCCTTCCTAGAGCAGCCCTTTCCATCTGAACCTCTTAGGCAGGAAAGGGGGAGGGTCAAAGGGTCTTTCTGAGTCTTTTGTTTCTTAATAACCAGCTTAAAATCAATATCCCAAGAGGCATACTTCTGGAGTGGCAAAACTTTGGTCCATTTCACTTTACAGAAGAAAATTTAGAATTAAGTTTTAACAACAATTTTGTATTTTTTTAATTCTTTACAAGAGGCCAACCTATAACTTTTTTTTTTCTACTTGAAACGTCTCCACCTCAAAGATCAACAGCTTTGAGCTCCCCATTTTGACTCTAGTCAGATCTTCTTTTGCTTCTCCTTTTCTTCTTTTTTCCTCCTGAACCTGTTCTTTGTTTTCATCAGGGACTTCATTCTCTCCTTCCTTTCCTCTCTCCCTCCTTCTCTTCCTTCTTTCCATAATAACGTATGGAGTGAGAGCTTTCTGTGTGCCAGGCACAGCACTTGGAGATTCCAAGATTAATATGAAGTACTTACTGCCTTGCAGGAGCTCAGTGTCTGGTGCAGGTTCGGATGCACGTTAGGCTTCACAGTGTGCATCCTCTCCAAGCAACTGGGACTGGATCTGTGGGAAACTGACATGAGGAGGATTCTGAGCTCATGTCTAGGTTTAGTTAAAGCTTCCTAAACTTTAGCTAAAGAAAGGATGTCAAGATCAATTAGTAATGTCTGCCAGTAGCCTGGGGACAGAATAGTTGGCATGTGTGCCTTGCCTTTGCCAACCCCCAATCCAAGAGAGTCAAAGCTGACTCCAGCTCCATTTTTTTCCCTCTGTCCAGTCCGACTCTCAAGTGGAGAGCTTTAAAGGATGCTCTAATTATCATCCTAGTATACCTCACCCCTTACATTTCCACCAAGCGCCGACCAAATCATTCCCTAAACTGTGCTCATCACTGCCAGTTAATTTCTCTCTTTTTCTCTAGACTATCAAGTTTTGCTAGAGAAAGACATGAAAGCATTCTGATTCACTTCACTGGAAATTCATGCTGCCAAGCCCACCTGGTTCTTATTGCTGCCCAGTACTGCTTTTATTAATCCCTTGGAGGATTCACTAATGAGTTTCCCACATGGGTTGTTTGAAAACTTTTTTCATGTTTTTGGAACTCACCACTTGATCTTCCCTCCCCTTGAACTTAGAAGATGATCTTGCCTCCTGCTTTACTGAGAAGTTCAAGGCCATCTGTAATCTCCTTCCGCTTCCTATTCCTTTCCGTTTTTTCCCCTATTTTCCTTCATCCATCTGCCCTTTTGTCCCAGAGGAAGAGGCATCCCTCTTATTTCTGGGTTGAACCCAACTTCTCAGGACTTTTCTCTATAAATTGTACTTTCTTTGGGTTTCTTGAAACCCTAAACTCCCTTTTTATAGGTTCTTCAGTTTTAAGAAAGTAAAAAACAAAGTACAGAGATTCAAATATGGGTGTGTCCAATACCCAGAAATGACCATTGTTAATATTGTAATAAATTGGCTTATCTTTTTTCTATTCAAAATGAAAAATTACAGATAAAGTTGAAATTCCCTTTGACCCACATCCTCAGTCCTATCACCTTCTTTCCCTTCTCAGAAGCAACTCTGTTATGATTTTTGCGTGTGTTCTTTAAGGTCATTAAAGAAGACATTTACTTATGTATTTACATAAATAATATGTAGGATTGTTTAGTGGGTAACTCAAGTTACATATTTCATATACCACAGCCTATGTTTCTCCCCCCTCTTGTTTTTTCCCTCTATCCATGTGGCATGTGCAGATCTAGCTGTAAGTTTCCTGAAGGCAGGGTTTTGGCCTACTCATTGCTAAATCCCAGAACCTAGAACAGTATTTGGCATTCAGTAGGCACTCAATATATTTTTCTTAACTAAAATTTTAACTGCTACGTAGTAGTCAATTGTATAAATATCCCACATATCACATTTATTTATTTACTTCTTTATTGGTCAACAGTTTAGCTTGTTTCTACTTCCCATGCTTCTTAGTACAAACAAGTTATGCAATATCCTTTTACAAGTCTCCTTGTGCCTGTGTTTGAGATTGTATCAGGAGTGCTTACTTAGAGTTGGAATTACTGGGTGGTAGGAAATAAACTTTAAACTTCATCTATCTAGAGGTAGCCAAATTTCTCTGCAAAGTTTCTTGGTTTTAAAACTTGTTTAAGAATTTCTCTCCACATATTTTTCCCCTGAGTACTCTAGATCCTGAAGCAATAGTTTGTCTTATTCTTTATTTCAGCATCTAAACTGATGATCCTGGGGCCATCATAATCTATGGCCCCAGCATCCATTCATGCTTAATGTTTGAAAAAGCTAACCTTTGATTTTTAAGTTATATTAGTCAATTAGTCCTCCTGCACATGTTACCCCAGGAGTATAGATGTTCCAAAAGGTACCCAGGCATGGAAAGTTTT